AACTTACTTGCCAAAAATAGCACAATTACGTGTATTTGTGGAATGATGCAGATGCATTTGATTTCATTTAGGATAGGAAACAAGGAGTTTTCTTTCAGGACATTGCCCTTTACCATGAATTGCCTTAGCTTTATTGTTGCATATTCCACTTAAAGATAAACCTGCTTATATTTAGGTAGTCTGTTCAACCAATTGCAGAGCGATGGGGTCACAGAAGCAGCATTATGACGATGTAACATCGGCCATTCCCCCTCAAGCAGTGGCACAAAGCTCTGTGGCTGAAGAGACTGGTAATTAGATTAACCTTTCCTTAATGGGCCCCTGTCATCCAGTAGCCTGAGGGGCCACGCTACTGCAGCTCATGATGAAAATCAAGCTGCTGGAGTCATAGATAAACCCCACCTGTAGTGTTGCTACTGCTTGTCCTGCCAGATAACTGTATTGTGCTTGTTTAAAGCACTTACAAGTGGGCAAAAAACTGACAACTGATCCTAATAATCATATTCACATTATTGTACAGAGGGAGATGTGTCAAAGGTTGGCCGCTCCTGATCTATAGATAGTTATTCGACATGGTGGAATAGATCTAAATACAGCGCTTATCAACTTGCGCATCGCGTGAGCTGCACTGCACACAACATCCCACATGGATGACGTGTTTTCTGCCACAGACAATTCTCAAATTCGCACACGTATTTACTCAGTTTGTATTCCCAACATGCACATCATGTTGCCACGAGATACAGAAGTGTGATCGTTCAGTACTGCTAGTGGTTCTTAGTGAGAGTAAACCCTGGTTTCAAGCACATTGAGTGCAATTCTGTCATAGATAAAGGAAGAATAAAGTATGTGAGTGTGAGGATGCTCTTCAGTGGGTGAAAGACTCTCCAGATTCTCTCCCGTTGTGCTATGAGCTTGGCCCTAACTTTATTCACGGCTTGTTTCTGCTGCTGACTCTGCCATATTTATTGCATACAGCATATGTGGAGATACAGAGGAACTGCCTTTGGATGAGTATACAGGGATACTGACGTTTTGAACGAAACCCAACGAAAATAGAATAACTAATTAATAACCAAAAACTGTAAACTATGTTTGCCCTTGACAGGAACTCCTGTCCGAGTTTGAATAAAAAAATGACATTTATGTTGTCCAACAGGATGATGCTGAAATTATTGTTGCGTCGTTGTATTTTCGTTGGCTAAAAGGTTTAGCTGTCGTAGAATCAGAAAGACGAGGAGCGAAGAGGACAACAAACGGACAAACAAAACAAAACAACAAGCTTGTCATGATTGAAATTGCTTATCGGTGCGGATGAAAGTAAATTGCCCTCAAATCTCGTAAAGCGTGAGCAAAGAACTCATCCTGCCATGAGGTGGAATCGATGGCTCCGATGAATTCGTGACACGCGCGGGGGGGCCTTCTGACGTGGGCGCCTTAGAGGAGATGCACTAGTTCCGCTTGCCATTTTTCACCCCTATAGCCCCCCCACAACCCCAACCCCCCCCTCCTGTGAATAATGACTGCAGCCCCGGCAGCCGTCTGCGTGTGTCATATTTCGATGGCTCATTACGGTGAGTGTGCATGTGTGTGTGTTTGTCTGATTATGGTTACACAGTGTAGGCCGTTACCCGTTAGAAGGAGAGGGGGGCTTAATGCGCCACAGGGGATGCGCGGCCAGGACAGCTCGTAAACGGCGCCGCCGAGCCGCATCGGCCACATCAATACCGCCACCTGGGAGTTTGGCCACTTCGTTCACGAAACCAATACCTCAGTGGGATCAGATGGACGCGGACGCTGCTGCCGTCGGGTTCAATCAAAGTGAAAAGCCGGGGGCTCATCAGGACGTCCACTTACGGGAGGATGTCAATTCTTTTCTTCTGTGTTTGTGTGTGCGAGACAAGACAAGCCAGAAATAAGGAAACAGAAGAAAGGTACTAGATCAAAACAGGTGCATTGACTAGACCCGCCTTCGCATCCCCTCTTATTCCAGAGCATGGCCAATGAAAGGCGGCAAAATGTTTATACGCTGCTTTCAGATGTAAGACATATCGCTTGGAGAGCTTTTAGATGATGAGAAGAACATTCTCTCGCTCTGTCTGCGGCGTACGCTTCCACATCCAGCCAATCATTGCCGAAGAAATGACTAATCAATGAATGAAAATGTCAAGATATCTGCAAACAAAGGTTTAATCATTGACGATATGCGTGTGGCAGAGGTCGTTTATATCTTCAAACAGAGTCTCTGTTCATTTAATACATGTTTTGGGAACAAACCAGAACAACCAAAGAAATTCGGGGAGAAGAACAGGCAATTTCTATCTATTTAATCTAAAAGAAGAATTGAAATCAACTTCAAAATAAACCCTAAAAGAAACACTGACTTGTACGTGTGTCAACTCTGTATCCTGTTGCAAACATTAAATACATTAAATATCCTGTTTTGATGACTTTGTTGTTAAGTGAGAATTTTTCTTTTCAAAGAATCAAGGACGTTTACAGAACACGTACGTAGAACAAGTACTAATTAGTAAAAATTAAAGAGCTGAAAAATCTAAAGTAGTAGGTTTTGTAGTCATTTTTACATATTACATAAGACACTCTGACACAACGCACACAAGTGATAAGAGTTGGTCGGGCGTCGTCTTTGTCACACAATGAAAAGATGTGGCTATTGTCTCAACATCACTGTCATTTCAACATCTGCAAATTGGTCAAAGGCTTTCACATGACTGTTTTTAAAAGTATTTATTGGTCTTTGATTTATCATCAGTAACTCACTGCTCAGTGTCACTAGCCACAGTATCCATTAAAAAAAAACACTACAATCACCCCTTATTGCCCAAGAATAGCAATTATTGTACACTTGTTTCTAGATCCCGGGCCGCGTCCCAAATGCTACTCGATCGCATTGGATTTTTTTCTGTGAGTACGGATCCTACTGGTAAATGTCACAGTGTGACGGGCACAAAGCCTGGTCACCACAATCGTACCCCGAGGGGCCCTGCTGCTGTCACTTCCTCTCAAGTGTGTAGACTACGCAGTAGTTGATAGTAAACAGAAAGATGGCTGGATTTTAGTGGTTTTTACGTTTGTAACCCGCGGGCTGTGACAGGAAAGAACGCCTATTTCCAAACAAATGCTGTAAAATATGGAAAGATGAGCACATGTTTGATCGTTTTCTTCGTTTTCAAATTAATGGCATATTTCGAAATAGATATGATGTTTATTTTCTGATTTGAGACAATATTTTAAGGATGGAAAAAAAGCGAATCCTGCATTGTAATTGAAATGCGTTATTATGTTGTTGGGGGTGATGTGTATTGGTCGGAATTTAACAAAGCATGACTAGCGGTAGAAATCATAATATGTGTAATAATTTCTGTACTATGAATCTATTTCATTCAATACTCTACACATGATATCTATTTTACTCTGTCCAGCCTGCGATGAGGGTCTCAACTTTGACGTCCTTCCTAAGGCTTCGCACCTGAACAGTTCCCCCATGAAGGGTTTTATGTGTCGAGTTTGGGTTTTGGGTTAGGTGAGGTCTCTTCTCTTGTGTGCAGATTGATTATATAATATGAGTTAAATATAAGGTTTCTGATGTTAATAATAATAATACATTTTATTTATATAGCACTTTTCAAAGTAGTCAAAGACGCTTTACATGGTTACAATAAACATAAAACAAAGACATCATATAAAAACACGACGTGTTATGAAATATGATGGTGTAGGACATGTTATGAATAGAGTGTAAACGATATTAGATGATAATGATGATATAATGCATTCCATATTATGTTTACTTAAATGTAATCATTGAATGTATTGTGATATTGATGAGGTTAGGGTCTGCTTAGGTGAGCGGGGGGATTCCAGGTAGGGTCACAAGATGGAGCTAGAGAGGAAGGTAATAAGACAGTATATCTTTATTGAATTATTGAAAAAGAAAGGGAGAATACTTCTACCACAACATCAACTGTATACTTTTCCGTATTTAAAAAAGATTTGTTTGGGGATTTGAGGTCATTGCAATCATCAACCACCACATCTGACCATGTCTTACCGCCAGGTCAATAAACAGAGAGCTTGCCTGAATGGAATAATAGTTTTTGTTTCCTGACCAACAGTAGATTTTTGTGTGAAAAATCTTGCAGACTTTGAGAAGAAACTCTCAGGATCTGTCAAAGCACAGCTGCTGTTGGGAATATTATACAATTCATGAAAAGGGTTACACACTCAGCACCAAACATTTACATTATATGTAAACTAAAGGTTCTTAATACAACCATACAATACAAAAGCAAAGACAAAGATGTTCTCTTATGATCATTGGTTATATAAAGCCCTCTTGTGGTCTTGAAAGAATCCTGCGTGATTCTCAAGACTTTGGTCTTAACCAAGTGATTAATCTGGATAAGCGCTCACAGCGAGTCAAAATGTTTGTTGTTTAAATAACATATAAAAATGTTGCATTTCTTTATCCTATTCAACGAGTCATCTTAAATCTCTCAAAGCTTCAAGATGCTGAAGGAGGAAATTGTTATCGTCATCATTGCATTTCCTCTGAATTCACAGATAGTTTGTAGGTGCAGCTTTGAAATAAATTGTGGAGAGTGGAGCTCGTCAGTTTTCTCACCCTTTCCCCCCTGGCCTGCAAGCCACCTCACACCTTTTGCTTTTTATCTGCACTTTAATTTCACGAAAACATACTGAAAAAAACTCATTTGTACTTTTGTAGTTCACATATTTAACCAAGGCACTTGCACGTATCGCTATGAAGAGAGGAAAAGAAACCATAAAGAATGGTGAAATAAGCATATAAATTAGACACAATACTGTATATCTGTTATTTTGTCTCGCAAAGGCTTTGAAATTTGAAATATTTTGTTTCAACGATGATTGTTTATCCTTCATTTGTCTGTTTAATTGAGTAAATGGTGAGATTTCCGCAGCGTTTTGAATGCAGCACAATGCCCTCCTTCAACGGCCGGCCAATGAGAATCCAGGATGCTGGGCGCGTGCGTGTTCCTCGTGCGCGGGGGTCGAAGAGAAGACGCGTGAGCGAGGCGACTAGCTTAGACTCCGCTCAGCTAGAGGTAAGATTGCTAATACAGTTGGTAAACACAGGCGTTCCTTTAAACACGCATTTTCGGCCGTGTTAGGTCACGAGGTGGTCACGCGTGGAGTTGTCTCGCTAATGTGACGTGCTGGCGGTGTGCTGCCCGAAAGACAATTTGTTCTCACACTTTTATTAACCCGTGAGCCAGCGTTAGCTGATATTCGCTTGTCAATGCAGCTAGCATTAGGCTACTAGCCGTAATTTACTGCTATTTACGGGCGGGTTTTCTCTACATAATGGCGTTGTTGCATCCCTAATTCGTTGGCGCACATCATCATCATCATCACCATTGCCGTGCGCAAATAGTTGATAAAAGGATATTGGAACCTTAAAGTGGTTACCTTTTGCACTTGTGTTAACGTTAGCTAAAGCATTGTTCACGGCACGATGGTTGGGTTCTTGCTTGCTAGCTGGCTAGCCCCGTTAGCTGCTGTCAGATTTGTGGCACCGCCCATACTAGTGTTATTAACATTTGGTTTGTTAGTATTCTGCCCTAATCGCGTAGACTCGTTTGATAATGATTTGATCATTGGTCTCGCATAGCTGTCACAGTTCGTCATAATCATTTTGTCCATCGTGAAAGGAAGAGGTGCTAACTTTGGTTGTCATGTCCTAGCCCAGCTGCCGTTAGCATGTCAATGCGTCATCGGCCGGCTCTTGCTCAACACCGGTGATGCTGTTGATCAGTTGCCGTTAGCTCAGCCGGTCTCTGTCGCTGTAATCTGAAGTATCTTAGTCTCAGTGTCTGAGGAAAGTGAAATAATTTTGAGCCCTGACTGTTTTTGTGCAAATGTTATATTGTCAAGCGTCCCGCATGTAGAAGAATGCGCTCGCTATCAAACAACGAATGACCCCACGTCACTTTTTGTATTTGCTTCTAACTTACAATTGAACTGTTTCCATTAGAGGAAGAAGCTGCCACTTGGTAATGGACGCCATCAAAGGTAAAGATAGTTATTTAAGTGAACTTTTCCATACTCGATTGTATATCAAGTTTTCTGTTTAGTATAAGATGATATTTGTGAAATTATTTATGACATAGAAAAGGTTTTATCAACATATGCAAGTTTAGACAAGATCACTATGTAGATAATTTAAACGTAAAGTAACGTTATATGTTTGCGTGCTATTGTAATGGGTTGTGTAATATTGGTTAGTGTATAGTAAGCATCATTTAAAGCATTTAGGCATTATGAATTAACTCTTGTCAATAAAAAAATTGTTATGATAATTAACCTGCAACTATAATCTTCATTGGCAGGTAAAGGGGAACAAGGGATGCAAAATCCAGGTGGGCAAGTTGACAGACCAGTCGGCCCCCACTTTTTGGAAAGGTCAGTGCAGATGTTTCATGCTATGTTTGTGTAATTTAAGATCAAATGTCCAAATTCAAAGGGTTTTGCAACGTAATATGCTAGTGTTCACAGCTGGTCTTCTATTTAGGATGGCAACAGTGCAAAATGGTAACCGATTATGCGTCTAATCTTAACACGTCAAACCGTATAATTGTTTTTAGGGTTGGGTCATTTGTCATGTTTCTCTTCTCTCATAGCATGCTTCCCAAAGTAGTAAAGAGGAGAGTGCACGCCTTGAAAAGGCTACAGGTGCAGTGTGCCAACATAGAGGCTAAGTTCTACGAGGAGGTCCATGAGCTGGAGAGAAAGTATGCTGCCCTCTATCAGCCACTGTTTGATAAGGTACACTTAATAAAGCTTTTTTTAAAATACTACTTTGCTTGACTGTAACACCAGATATCTTGCATTTTCTGTTCCGTTTTTTTGGATGTTCCAACAGCGCAAAAGCTAAAATAGAGTAACAATGCCTATTTTTTTGTTAGGAGGCTAAATATCTAATAATCAAACTGTCTCCTGCACTAATGGGTGGTTACGTCAGCAAGAATGTATCCTGGTGCTAAATTAAAAACTGCAACAACGAGTAGTCATCTGTACTTTTATCAGTCATGACTATTTCCATAGCTAGTTACAAGAACTCTTTCAAGCTGTGTGTGATGCTAATATCCTCAAATGATTCTCTAAAGTGATTTACTTCTCCATAATGCTTTTGTGTCACAGAGAAGAGATTTTGTCACAGGAACAGTGGAACCCACAGAGGAGGAGTGTGAGTGGCACAGTGAGCGGGAGGAAGAGGAGGAGCTTGCTGTAAGTACAGAGTTGATAGAGCTGTTTGTCTTGTAATCCTGGTCACTTATGAAAAATCGTACTGCTTCTGGCTTTCCACACAAAATATACCAACACCGGTTGTGTGAATCTCATAAATTATTCTTGAAGGCTGCTGAAATTGTCGAAAAAGGAAACGGGATTGTGAAAAATGTGGTGTAAATGAGAATCCCGATGGCTAACTAACTCTGGCTGAAATGCAAAAGATCTCTCTCAATCCCCCCTGTTCCAATGAGGGAAAACACCCAACTCATCCTAAGAAACGCAAAACTGCAGTCAAACCGGACAGTCATTTCCATGTTTTCGTCCCTCCAATTTGGGCTGTAGAGGTCAATTTCATTTTGAGTTGCATTGCAAAGTCTCAAATCTAATTTGCCTCAAGCTTTAGAAACCCCGTTTCAAAAGTTTCATCAGCTAATTTGATAAGTGCATTTTGATAAGTGCTCTGCCCTCTTCCTGTAGGAGGAAGTAAAGGAAAAAGCGGCTATTGAGGATGCAAAGAAAGAGGAAGCCGTGCCCAGGGAGGATCCAAAAGGGATCCCGGAGTTTTGGCTCACCATATTCAGGAGTGTTGACATGCTCAGTGACATGCTGCAGGTATGTTTAATTGATTTACACCCACGTTAACCTATTTCTCCCCGTTTTCATAAGTCATCTGACTGTTTATCTACCACTAGGAACACGATGAGCCCATCCTAAAGCACCTGAAAGATATTCAAGTCAAATTTTCTGAGCCAGGACAACCAATGGTCAGTTGGTAGCAATGACTTGATGTTATTCCTAGTTGATGTATTGGATGAAGTTGACATTGTCTCTCCCTTGGTCTTCCATCTTAGAGTTTCACATTAGAGTTCCACTTTGAGTCCAATGGTTACTTCAACAATGCAGTCCTCACTAAAGTCTACAAAATGAAGTCGGAACCCGATGCCTCGGAGCCGTTCTCCTTTGAGGGGCCAGAGATCATTGACTGTGAAGGGTAAGCAACGGGGCACATGAACATATACACGATGTTGAGGCTGCTTTGTAAAATATTTCCATCACTCGCTACTTTTTATCTTGTTTGGGCCTTCATTATCTGCTGCATCTCACGGAGTTGAACATCTCTCTCTAGCTGTCTCATAGACTGGCACAAAGGGAAGGATGTGACGGTGAAAACTATAAAGAAGAAGCAGAAGCATAAAGGCCGTGGCACTGTCCGCACCGTCACCAAGCAGGTCCCCAACGACTCTTTCTTCAACTTCTTTAACCCGGTCAAAGGTGAGCAACACACAGAAATGAATGCACACGAGACTTGGACATATTTCTCTTGACCGCTACTCGTTAAACAAAGCTCTGTTAGCTGTGTACGCCGGTTCCTTGAACAGCCGCCGTAACCCACACAAATACAGTTGCTTGACAGTCAACATGGCCGTCTTTATCTGCAGCCGGTGTGGCGACATCTCGACGAATGGGTTTCACCAACGTCACTGCATTGAGCTGAATCCAGCAGCAGGTGGCGGCAGACGCCCAAACCTGTGTGACTGTGCAGTCACTCTGCTGCGTGTGTGCGTGCGCGGTACATTTGGCATATTCAACTGTGAACATGAAGCCGCCCTCAATGGAACTGGTTTTACCATTATTACCACATTTGAGAGCTGTGCGGTGCATAGATGTGTGTAAATAGTACATGTTAGACTATATAGATGATTTCTATCTACTATTTTAAGACTATCAAAGCCATTTCCACCATTTCAGTATTGTTGGAAGAAGGGGCACTCAGTTTATTGCCAGGGTGGTGGAGCGCAACTGTTTGTTAAGTCACCTTCTGTGGAGGACGTGACCTCGCGGTGGGATGTCTCTGGTGATAACCACGGTTGTTGCCTTTAATGAGCTTTTGGATGTTGATTGAGTCTGTGAAATCCGTCGAGCCGCCCTGTGAAAGATGACTAACATGAGTGATCATTTTAAATGAATGTGCCTTTTAGCATTTATCCAATTTCATCATCACCTTTCGCGGTGGCTTTAAGTGCCCTCTAATTGCTTGTAGAGCCGTGCGTTCGGGTGCTTCTTATAATGATGTGGCCTTTGCCTTTCAGCTTCACCAGATGAAGAGATGGTAAGTCAATTTAGCTTGTTCTTCATCAAATCCCCCCCGCGTTGTGTCTTCTTCATTACCACGTGTGCATTGGATTTGTAACCGTTAGAGGGGTATCTCTGTTTTCTAGGATGAAGATTCTGAGTTCACCCTAGCTCAAGACTTTGAGATTGGGCATTTCTTCCGCGAGCGAATAGTTCCCAGAGCGGTGCTGTATTTCACAGGAGAGGCCCTGGAAGATGACGAGAGCGTGAGTTTGGCTCCTCAAACACACCCGAACACCGAAAAAGCTTCAACACGAGATGTTTGCAAACTGGGAAAGGGAAAATAAGCTAAACCTTTTGTTTTTCTTTCACGCAGTTCGATGAGGAGGAGCTGGAGGAGGGAGATGAAGAGGTGTGCCAGCATAAACATCACCGCTAAACCACATAATAATCCGAATGATATTAGCAGCAGCCCATGTATAAATTTTAAATCTTATTCTAATTCTTGTCTTTATCTCAGGAGCAAGATGATGAGGATGATGATGACGACGGAGAGTTGGAGCCCAAGGTCAGTCTATATTCCTTCTCTTTTTACTAATATTGTGTCGTTGATGGTGGTGCTAATTGTGTAGCTCTTTAAACCGAGAGTGTTTATTGTAAAATCCCCTGAAACAAGGCAGTGCTGTGGTCCGAGGAAGCGTGTGGTGATTCCTCTGGGGGGCGCAGGTCGGTGGGGCCGTGTGTCGTGTAGCTCAAAACGTGGCGCACAGAGAATTGCACCACGTCTTTTTATCAGACGGGTAAACTTTTGAAAAGCACCAGAGGAACCGACTAACGGTGAATTTGGTCCGAGCGGTTTAACAGGAATGTGACTGCGAGCCTCATGTTGAATTATACCGCGGTGAGAACGCAGCAGCAACTTAATGCCATTAGGCCGAGACGTTCAGCATTTTGACAAACCAGCATTGTAAAGAGGAAAGAAATCAAATGAAGACGGATACATTGAAACGGGGATGGCAGGGTGTTCATTCACTTACATTGCCTACACATTCTTATGTAATGACGTTCAGTGAAGCCATTTATTCAGTGGTTTAGTCGGGCCGAGAGGACCGTGCTCCATTATGAGATGTCCCGGTCTGATAAGCAAGTACGTGCATAATGTGGCCTGCAAGCAGCTTTAGCACGACGGACCAACAACGCTGCTTTGTCTGAATGGGCTTTTTCCGCTCGTGGCGCCCAATGTCTGCTCAGCAGCTATTCCTTTTGCTCATTCACCAGATTCATCAATGTTTCACTATGTCGTTTGTGACTGTGACCATTAAACTTGTGAATATTGTTGTCTCTCCCTCCCCTGGATTCCCCTCCATTACAGGCATAATCACTCATTCTCACCCAATGCAATTTCTAGGTAAGGGAGCAGTAGGGATGGCGTCCCACACTAATCACTGTCTGGTCCGTTGGCTCTGGTCTGTCATTCTTCTCTCACTACGTCCTGGAGTCTTCCAGTAGTCCCAAGTGTTTAGGTCCCTCAACTCACATCTCTGGTAGACTCTTTCTATTCTCCCTGTCCTGTCGTTGCTCTGTACATAGTTACCATGTTTCATCCTGTAACCCCCCCACCCCCATCCCACAGGTTTTTAACATTATACCCTTTGCTGTAGCAAACGAGGTGCTTTCGTTCTCTAACGTCTCCCTTCTTCTTAGCATCATCTAGCTGCTAGTTAATGCCCAGTGGCGTAATTGGCTCTCTGCCGTCTTGTTTTCTAATCTGGTCTGTGTCTGTGTCTCCCCCCACCCCCTGACAGAAAGAGCAGCCCCAGCCGGCCGAATGCAAACAGCAGTAACCGTGGTGATCATGGGAGGTGGTGACCTGCAGTGTGATGAATCAGTTCTTAGCCAATCCGCAAGTCCTCCCACCCCTTGCAGGCCTCCCCCTTTTATGAACTCATGTGAACGCAATAGAAGACAAACCCAACTGTTTTTAACATGTGCATGACTTTTTTTCTTTCGTCTTGCGCCCGTCTCGCCCCCCGTTTCATTAAATTACCATATCATCATAGTCTTTGGTATGGTGGTCAAGACCCTCAGAGAAAGAGATGGATCCCAGCCTACGTTTTCATGGAAATAAATTGGTTACTCAGGGTTTTTTAATGCCAACAAGAGAAGTTTGAGTTTACCAGGAAACCGTTGAAAAAGTCTTGATTTAATATTTCACTGGCGTAATGTTTTTGTTATGGTGTTTTATAAGAGACATTAAATATATCGTTTTGAATTTCATTTCCTCCTTTTTTCAAAATGTTCATTGGCGTATGTCATTGGACTATTATGGTGTCAGTGGTGCATTTTGTGGGGGGGGGGGGGGGGGTCTCAAAGGCCCATCTGCAGTAATAGGCTCATTCTCATTGGCTCACATTTTATTTGGGCGTAGCAGGTAAATAAAACTTGAATATTGCCGAGTCATTTCATTTTTTTCCTTTTTCAAACATTGAAGAATTGTTATGCAGTAATGCTGCTTATTTCAATTCATTTCTGCCCATGTCTATTGGGTTTACAAGCATTTACTGAACAACGTTAAATAACACCATGCCACAGGTGTGTGGTTACACCTCTATTGCTCTTCCCTGTTTGAGCCGTCACCCCCTGAAATGCTCCTTTGACTCTGTGTATTTGAGAATAATAGGATTGTTTTATGAAAACCAGACGTTTGGAAGACGTTACATTTCCCTAAAATATGACCCATTTAAGCAGAAACAGCAGTCCATCTGCAACCTGTTTTGGTTATGTATTTAGTTGTTAACTAATGTAATTTTCCAGTCAGCGAATGGACGGTGCACGATGTTGAGAGCATAAGAAAATTCAGTTGCCAAAATGAAAAAAACACAGCGTCGTCTTTTATTCAAGGGTTCGCCAGTTATTAACAAAGCGTAATCTTAATTCAGCATTTACAGTTAAAGAATATATAAATATTTCTGTTATTGTCCAATGAGTCTGTTGAATGTTTGTGGAAAACAGATGGAAGTGCTTTGCCAATGTATTTTATATACTCCTCATGGCTTTTTGCCTGGTCAGCGATTTGCAATCCCAGCGGAAATAACAAACCCATGTCTCTTTTTTTAAAAAGAATGATTGTAGATCTTGTCGGACAGATCTTTCAGAGCCACGCTTGACATCTTCAAATCTACCACACGGAAACGTGTGCTAGCAACGGCCGTAACGGGTTCTTATTCACAATTTGTTACTCGCGCAATATTTCCTTTCAATTTGTACAGAGTTAGTTAAAATATTCTATTAAAGTTGTGCAACATGGAAATGGATTTTTGTGTCCTTCGTTTGTGTGTCACCATTTGTTCTTAGCAGGACTTTAGAGCTGCAACCGCTTGTTGTAAATGAATCATCAGAAAACTGTCTTCACAACATTTTTAAAATTATTGGTATGATTAATCCTTTTTCGTTCTCTTTGATCTTACGTTGTCCCAGTGAAGCTGACTGTGATCCATTATGCACGACAATATCCTCCTGAAGCAGTGTTACCTGCACCTAACGGAACAAGTCAAAATGCCATCAGCTAAACAGTCACCCGGGGAGCTGCTCGACGGTCCTACTGATGCGTTGTGCGCTCGGCTAAGTGTCCCCGGGTGACTGAGCAGCTACTCTGAATGGACTTCACTATGAGGCCCCCGGGCCATGATTTGCAAATGAGAAGCTGCGTGCGGATGCAGCCTGAGCACGCTGCATAGCACCGCACCGCGACATCCAGCAGGAAGAACTCACTTACCGCCTGAGCGACATCACGCCAGGCTATCGGAATGTCTGGAATTCTGTCTTGCGGATAGCGAAAGCACGCTCGCCCCTCTTGAGAGATCCTTGTGATGCATTGTGGGAGGTTATGGCTAAGTGCTCCGAGGCCTCCGGAGGAGGAGGATGGTGACACGGTGTCCTAGCAACCCAAGTGCCCCGAAGGACGGTGGGCCGCAGCTTTCTTATCCCCGTCACTCCGTCCGGCAACACCTACAAACTGTGTGTGTTTTTTCCGTCTCAATCATCACGGGAAAAGAGGTGACTGTGAAAACAAAAGATTAGCACAAGGTCACTGTGAACACGAGGGTTATTTGATCGTGAAATGTGATGCAGGCCGACTGAAGTCTACTGACTCCGTCATTTTGTGGGTTTTTGCTTTACTGACAACAACCCACCATTCATGCCGAGGCCGCTGCGTGGGGGTTGAGAGTCGCCTCGCTGTGTGACAAGGAGTCCAATTGTGTCTGAAAACCCCATTTCTGTTCTTTCTGAAACAGTCAAGGAGAAGTAAAAAAAAAATAAAGGAGCCAGACAGTCTATAGTTTGCAATGAAAGTTGATTTATATGGTATCAAACTGATTTGTTACGTGCACTTTACGGAGAAAATGATAAACTATACATTTAAAAGTGATCTTAGGCTCGGCTGTTCAGAAGCTCACTTGGCCTTGTCAAAACACGGAGAATGAAGACACCGGGAAACTGCTGTTTGCGACCAGTGTGAACAAAGTACTCTCACGTTTTATGTGTGTGTGTGTGTGTGTGTGGATGGACGGATGGATGGATGGATGCTCGGAGAACAAGCATCAACATCCCACACACACAGAAGAAAGCAGGTTTAGTGGACTCAAGGGGAGATGATCCGGGCTGCTTTTGCGCATGGCCGCGGCGGTAGAACAAAGGAAAGTATTTAGACTGCGACGATTATCCCCGAGTGATGCCGTCCGCCCTCGTCTCCCATCCTCACCCAGCGGAAGCGCTTGGTCGCGGCCTCCTTCTTTCGGACGCGCCTCCCAGCTCGCAGCTGCGCCCACTCGTCCCGCTCTCGGCTCCAAGGTGCCGCACGTGTTTACGAGCACGCCAGAGAGAGAGACAGGGGGAGCGAACAGGCTCGTCTGTGTGGGGTCTTTTGTGTGGCTCCTGCTTCCGGGCGGAAGTGGTGTGAGCCAGATGTGAGTTCCAGAGGAGGAAGGGAATAGAGAGGTGCTTCATGCTTCAGAGCTGAATGAGCTGAAACCAAAGAGACCATCGCGTCTTCGATGTGATGGATGTTTGAAGTAAAACCAAAACTTAAGATATTCTCCTCTTTTTTTCTTAGCTACTCTACAGCGGTGATCCAAGAGGCCAATCACTTTGGTGATGCCCGTACGCTGCAGAGGCCTCATGGGAAAACTCCAGGAAAGCCACTGCGCTTCCAGGGGAGCGGAGGCACAATCTCCTCCAAACGATGAAAGCAAACAAGGATGTGACTAACACTTCCGCGGGGGCCTCACAACATCTCCTCCGTCGTCTCAAGGTGAAACCCACTCTCAAATCTTAAAATGTTGTGGGTGTCGGGGGATGGAAATGTGGAGGGGTTTAGACAGCTGTTGGCTCAATCACAATCGAATCCTAATTTATTTATTTATTTAAGCAGCATGTTTCACTGTGATGTCTACACATTTTGAGGAGGGACCGGAAAGAGGAAAAAAAGTGAGTCAATTTATGGAATTTATCAGAAAGCTCTTTACAATCTGCTTCGACAAAGTGACTCCAACCCGGACGACTTTGATCTTTTACATTTACGTGTGCTTAACACGACGAGCCGTAAACAGTGGGCAATAAAACAAAAGCTAATCTTACGCTAATCTTATTGGGTCCACAGCATTATCACCAGTTACCTCTCGGCCTGGTATCATGTGTGGGAAAGCAAACGTCACGCCCAATCACAGCGGAGCACCTCGGTCGGGTTTTATGAATTAGAACAATGAATGAACAGGGAACTGGGTGCGGCGCCTCAGACCTGAACTGCGTCGCGTAGGCGAGACCATCATACCAGGAATGGTTTGAATATATGTAAACTCTTTATGCTCTGCCATGCTTTGCATACATTTGTGTTATTGTTGGCGTCCCCATAACGTATTGCATATTTCTGATTAGGTTCCTGGGGTTACTCAAAGTAATCATTTGAATGATTCTGGTAACTTGAACACCTCCAGTCAAACTTGGACTTGAATCCCAACTGCATAAATTGGTGCGAATCTATTCTCTCTTGACCTTGTGTGAATTATCTGAGGCGTTGGTCCACTTGGTCTCTCCTCACGCAGTCGCCAAACCTTCACCTTTTGAATGGGCAACACTAGAGCACAGGCCTGAAAGAGGTCAAACCATCGGGCTCAGCGGAGGAGGCCACGGCTTGGTTTCGGTTTAACGAAAAGACTTCAGGTTTAACCCGTAAGCCGCAGTGGAGCTATGCAGAGCGAACGTTACATTCCCGGCAGCGTGAAGGTTTGCATACCTGCCATTCTTTTTGCAAATTGGCAGGTATGAGGTGCTGGACTGCTGGATAATATCTCATAACTCTCACCACGGTGGCTCCGTGGAGCTCATGCGTGTGCGTTAAGGAAGAGGACCGGCTTCATGGTTTTACACACCTGTGTGATGAGGTATGTGTTAATGACTGTGGGAAACAACGATCAGGGTTTGAAGGCGCATTGACACAATACAATGTCTCCTGTGCACATCCTTCTAGAAGCGCATACCAGACTATTAAGGCCAGCGAAGGATTGTGACTGAATGCATTTCCCGGTCTGTACTTCGGAAAAATGACATGCGCTCAGGTACACAATGTGCCTCCACTCTGCACCGCCCTCATCTAAAGGTTATATTTAATAGCCCCATGCTGACCGACGCAGCGCAGCCGGCGAGCCTCTGGTACCCTCTTAGTGTAACATTGTTAGTGCTGTCACTACTTTTGCTGTTAGCTGCAAACGCTGGCTCAGCCGCTGCCATTTTCAGAGACGTTGAGTCAACGCAATGCATGTATTCACAGTATTCATACATTCTTCTATTGCTGCTTGGGTTTAAGTTAAAGGACATTTAATAGTCCGTCCATCTCTGCTTAAAAGGCCGGCTGTGACATCAGGGTTTTGTAGATTAGAGGCCGTCTTTGGTGACACTCACACAGTGGCCAGTTCCTCATCAGATGGACTTTTGTCATTGTTCTACATACGTTTCCTGCTAAAGAACTGCGTTTGACTGAGAGCTGCCTTCACAGGCCATTTGTTCTTTTTCCCACGCTGCTGAATGCTGGTGTGGCCACGCACACACACACAGAGGGCTTATCAGAACAATGCCTCAAATAACTCCACAGTCTCATCCAAAGGGCATGTCAGAGGATGTGTGTGTTAGTGCGTGCGCGTGTGTGTCAGAGTGTGTGTGTGAGAGAGAGAGACAGGCCGAAGTCATAAATTTGTCACAGTGTGCAGCTGTTACCTGCGAGCTGCGCTGTGCTTGTCAGCGCCTCATCACAGCCAGCTCATCCATACGGCTCCCCATTGTTGGGCTGACTATGTATAGTCCCCGGTTTGAGGCCGTTTCATGATGGACGCCGACGCGATGTTCATGCACACAGAAAACACGAGGTTCATTTACTTGTGTACAGTCCTGGTCAAACGTTTGGACACACTTTTTCATTCAATTAAATGACTAAAACTGAAACGTTTTGACTCGTACTGTAGGAATACTTATTGTGCAAGAGCCATTTTGGAGTGTCCAAAATCAATTTATTAGTATTTAAAGAGGTTGTATTTAACATTCTGAACATTCATGTTGCAGGAAACATCTTTTTGCTACGTTAGGAAACAGACAAATGATATCTAACTTAGCAACCCTTTGTGTGTTTTTTCGCTTTGTTGACATAAACAGGTGGTTTTAGATTTGCAGCCAAAAATGTTCATATGCAAATCTAACAAATCATTTAACCTCAGTTATTGCAGTGCACAAAATATTCCATAAAAAAAACTATATTTTTTTTCTATATATAAATATATATATATATATATATATATATATATATATATATATATATATTTTATTTTTTTGGTAATAAAGACACAAATACACCTTCATATGCCCGCCGTGTTTTGCACGGTTAGATCTGTTAGCCGAGTTAGCTTTGAGCAACTGCTGCAACATGTGTAGAGTCATTTAAATGCTTCCAATCTTGGATAATGCAGTTTGTAGAGTTACAAACTCAAATATCTCTGTTTGCTTGCAGGTGTGATTTTTGGATCTCAACAATTAGGAAAACATTTGTTTAAACAGGCAAATTAATATAATGAATCAATCCTTACAAATTTACACCCTGTTCAAATGTACAGTGACTTGTTTTCAGTGACTGTAACAATATATTAGAGTTCCTCTGTCATGTTTTGTGTGATTTCTATTAAATCTTGCATGAATAGAAAGAAATAGATTAGACTCAAACATGGTCTGCTGACTGATTTTCAGTCTTAACACGCGACTTCCAGGACGGTTC